GGGGGAGGGGTGGGGGGGGGGGGGCAGGGAGAAAATACTGGTGCCCATCTTTAACATAAAGTCTCTGGGGATCAGGCACCTAGAAGGTAGACACTGTAGTCCAGATCCAAAGACGGACGTGCATCTATCCCAAACTGAAGGATTAAGTCATATATTCTAATTCCATATTCCTTCTAGGCATTCACAGTTTACTCATCACCAAGAGTAAGAAGTAAAGCAACTGCTGCATACAGACAAATGGGAGAAATGCTAGCTGCCTTGCTGGGGAAAATATTAGAGGGAAAAGAATAGAAACAATCTTCCTCCTCCAAAAAATAAATAAGAATTAATGCATGTTTCCCCTATTACTAAGACTGCTTAAAGAATTCCAAGTGGGATAAAAATGCACATTAAGAAGAAAACATAAATTTGCTCAGGAGAGTTGGAACTGGTTTTTGCCTAATGGCAGGAACAGCAGAAACATGAGAAATGTGCTCACATTAGACAGTGCTAATTATTTCCTAAGCTAGTAACCAGAAGCCTACTGGAACACCCAGGCACTCAACTATTAGAGGGGGGGGAAAAATAGTTTGTGTTTGTGCATTCACTCCGATTTTCCAATTTAAACAAAAATACACCTACCATGTTGAGTGGAAGACTGAATTAAGTGCTCTTTACTGAAAGCAGAAAAAGCTTTAGCTTTTTAGACAAAGGAAAGAAAAAGAAGAGAAGAATTCAAGGATTTTTGCAGTACCTTTTATTGTTGTAAGGTTTGTTCTGACAGATTTCAGGTGACAAATAGTATGGTGTTCCTATGCAAGTACGAGCCAGCTCTACAGTACTAAAATAAAGAAAAACTAAAAGTGAATTAGTTAACATTAACTCATGTAATGTTATGTAGAGTCTATATTGCTAGACAAAGTCTATTCCAATAAATTTATAGCAGGGATGTCAAACGTATGGCCCACAGGCTGGATCTGGCCCATGGAGGTAGGTCTTCTGGCCCACAGGACTTCTTGCCATGGCAGAGGCTGAACTGGCTGTGGTGGAGCACATTTCTTCCCAAAGAAGCTGGGAGAACAAGCAGTTTTGACCTGGACCTCTATGCGAGTAAAGCCAGTTCCAAAGAACTTACATCAGTTGGTGGGCCATATACCCTACCAGGACCCAGGAGTTCAACATTGTCATTCCTTACCACCTCCCTTTTCCCATCACAGAATTTATTGTTTTTAATCAACTCAGGCAATGAAAAATCAGCAGCTGTTAGCAACGGGGACAAGCAGCAATGACAGCAGCATTAGCCTTGCGGCTGCTGACACAACATATGGCCCACCAACTGATTTGATACCCCTGATTTATAGAAAGCAGCACTGACTAGGAGTTACCTGTTAAGGACTCTAGCAATTCCAAAGTCTCCCAGTTGTATTGTTCCATCTTTGGTTAAAAATATGTTCTGGACAGGAAGGGAGAAAAAAAAAAAAAAAGAGGAAAAATAGTTCCTTCAAACAGAACTATAATTCATATAGAAGAAAAAAAACCATTTAAGTATACAAGCTATATTTTCAGTTTCTCTATATGCAACTTTATACCATTCCAAAAGCTGGAAAAACATTTTTAGCCCTGAAACATACATAAATGCTTGCTACCTGGCTTGGGGAGAGAGGTACCCCTCTCCCCAGAAGTACTACAAAGGTACCCCACACAAGGGGTCAGCAACGTTTCTGGGCAGAGTGCCAAAAACACCCACAACCCTGATTTGTAAGATGTTGGTGTACTAGAGAAGCCCCAAGGGACTTGATACTTGTTGTGGCAGTGCAGCCCCAGCCCCTTCCCCAAGGTGTGACCACCAAGTAAAATGTCTTTGCAAGCCACACTCCAGTACACATGCCAGGGGTTGCCTACCCATGATCTACACTAGGCCTGACTGCCTGGAAGCACTGTTCTGAAATATAGCGTGCCTGTTCCATGTGTTACAGTCCAGAAAAAAAAGTGTAACGTAGCTGTTCTTTGGCATACACTCAACATCCATCTTAATCTCAGTCTATACTGTATTTAATCAGCACATATACCCAGTACTCTCTGATGTTTACATTATATTTTCTCAGCATTTGGTGAAAGTGGAACAGAAAAGCAAGTAGATGGGGCAGTGTTCCCAGCAGGTCAGATTAGCGCCAGATAATAAAATAATTATAAAATTTATAATAAAATAAATTCTAAATACCTATACATTTTGCCATTTGATTTTTTTTTATTATTATTATACAAAATCAGAGCTTCCCCTGCCTCCCTTTACTCACTAAAACATGGGTCCAGCTGTGGCTGTCCTCACCGGTTTGTGACACTGAGCAGCCCTGATATGCCAGTGCCCTGCCCCTGCCTCTCACTCCCAATCCACAGACCCCTGGCCCTGCCAGAACCCCTCACACCCAACCCAGAGCTCCCTACCTTCCCGAACCTGCTGGTGCCCCTCACTCTCAACTTGCAGCCCCCTGTCCCCCCAGCCCTACCGGGGTCTCCAGCTGCCAGGTCTATGGGAGCTGGCAGCTGCTGTGGCTAGAAGAGTCTCTCCCTGTAGGTGGCCTGGCCGAAGCAGAGCTAAGTAGAGCCTGTGGGGGGTGGGGAGGAAGCCTGCTCGCTGCAGTCTTGGGCCTCCCAGCCCTGCTGACCTCCCCCCAGGGGCCTCTACAGCCCAGTGGGCGGGACCTGGCACAGGAGAATGGAGCAAAGCAGGGTGGGGAGGCTCAGTGCCACTGCCACCACCACTGGGACCCCTGCGCCAGCCGTGTCACCAAGGTGAAGCACCCCCTGCCCACGCAGCAGCAGCGGGGGCATAACTTCTCACCGCCACTCATGGCTGATGCAGGGGTTCCAGCAGTGGTGGCACTGAACCTCTCTGCCTCGCTCTACCCTCCCATGCCAAGTCCCATCACAGAGGCCCATGGGGGGAAAGGGAGCTAGGTGGGAGACCTGAGCCCGCTGTAGCTAGCCCACATCTGCCCCTGCACCACGCACAAATGGGGGGGGGGGGTGCACATTCTCCCCATCACACTCCCAGGGAGAAGGGTAAATGGCAGGGAGCCAGCCACCCCCTTACCCCGGAAGAGCTGCCTGTGGCTCTGTCCCACTCCTCCCCCCGGACCCCACATTCCTACACCTCCCTCCCTCACTGTGGTCACCTCAATCTGCCCCGCATAAACTTACCTGCAAGCAGCTGGGGGAGCCGCTCTCCACCTGGATGTCCCACTCCTCCCAGTCCCAAGCAGCCCCTTGCAGGTTGGAACTTGGCCAGCCTGCAAGGGGAAACCTGCAGTTTCCCATGTTTTTCTCCTTCATAGAAGAAAATCCGTGTTTTTCCACAAACAGAAAACCCGGATCCCTGCTCATTAAATCAAAATTAATAAAAATACTTTACAGAATTCAAGATGTTTGAGGCCCATCTGCCATACTAAAAATAGGGAGACAAAAAAAACATTTCATGATCATCCTACACTACATAACTAATGTTTCATCCTTGTGACATATTGTCTACTCTACGTCCTCTATTCTAGTGAGCAGGCACTTGTTTCACAAGGAAGGAATCAGACAAATTGCAGCATGTATCATTTTAGGCTCACAGTTAGAATCTAGTTGTCAAGACAGTCAGGGAGAAAGTATAATGCATAATACTTTTACTGCAATTCCATTTCAAGTTAGCACCCAACATACCTGTGATTTTATATCGCGATGCAAAATTTTTCTCTCGTGTACATGTTTCAGAGCTAAACAGATCTGTACAAACCAATCCATAATCTAAATGTAAAAATAAGAAATTAAAAATAAATTAACTTCTACTTGCGCACACGTACACACACATACAGTTGTCGATTTGAGATTGAAAGACTCTCTCTCCTACATTTTACTAAGCCCAACACTTGGTTTATTAAAATGTGTAACAGCATTCCTACATACATATAAATATAATTGGGGTTGAATTGTTTTTTAAAAAAAACCATTTACTTCCATTCTTTAAAGGTTCCACATTTTAGCAGTAATACAGCTTCCAACCAGCAAATGAAACATTTATCTTTGTCTTTAAATACAGCACTCATCAGATGTTGTTGAATATGTAATTCTAACAGAACATCAAATCAAAATATAAAGAGAGAAGATAGAAAATCTTGCGCCATAAAATCCAGATGTTTTAGAGAAATTCATCTGGACCAGAGGTGTCAAAGATATGGCCCATAAATCGCATCTGGCTGGTGGACTCTTAACATCCAGCCTGCAGGTCTCGGGTTGAACCTGCACAGTGCACATGGTGCATGCCAGCCCTGGCCTTGTGTGTTGCACATGAGGTCAGGTCCAATGTTTTTGCTGTACACAGCACCTGCACCAGATCAGCCCCATGTACTGGATCTGGTGTGCAGGGCCAGCCTGCGGGCCCGATCTGGTCTGTAAATAATGCCATGCTGCTCATTCAGCTTGTGTGGCCTACTGAGTTTGATACCCTGATCTGTACATCTCCTTTAATCTAGATCAATTAACATACTTAATCTATGTTTCAAATGGCATGTTTAGCATTTCTCAGATAAATAGATCAGACTTTCAACCTATAAATAACCATATTCATAAGGCCAGTCTGAAATTACATAATATTTTCTACTACTTAAAAAATTAAAAATAGATAGTATGTAATTATAGCCCAAAGCTACTATTACCTGATCTTCAGAGAACAAGATGCCTTTCTGAGCATTAATTTTTTTAAACAGGTCCCCACCTTCACAGTAATCCATCACTATGTAGAGACAGCCCTTTTCTGTCAATAAAAGCAGGAGGCATTTCAGTATTCCATAACAAACAACAAATTTAAAGCTTTTAAATGATAAATGCAAAGTATATTTCTTCATTTTCAAAGCTGGCTGCAAGTTACTATTATTTGTTTTTCCCAATTCTCAGGCAAAATACTTACATTCATGGTACCATTTTACTGTTTCCCTTTTTGATGCTAACAATTCTTTCCTTCAAACTTCATAAGTAAGACCCCAACACAAAGCTAGAGACCACCATGTGACAAGAGGTACCATCTTTTGAATAGAACATAAAGCTATAGTCTACCTAGAGGAGATATTAAAAATCTCAGACTGCCTCCTAAAAGCAAAAAATATTGAACTTCACCAAATTCTAATTTAGGTGCCCACATCTGACCACATTTATTCCTCTTGCAATCCTGAATGAATATGGTATTCCTACTCCTAGATACGCCAAATTAGGGTTTGTGGGACATCCTAAAAAGGTATCAGATATTGACTTAAATGACATTCAGGTTCTCTACTGCTTTTGAACACTATTCCACAAGACATTTAACTAATGCACCATATCTGCTTGTTCCTATGATGTGCAAATTTTGAAGCACTAACTCCATCAGCCTTTCCCAACTAGTCATGGCTCATAGCTTCCAGGATGCCAGCCTAAGGTATTTAATATCTAGACAGAGAACACTGGGTCACCAGTAAGTGACTCTCTCTTAAAAAGGTGCAGAAAATCATATTTTCCACAAGGCTCCCTGGGCTTGAAAGTTACTTCCCCGTTCACCAAAACACTTCATATATGCAAATGTCATCTATATTTTTCAGACATTTGGTGTCATTTTAGGGGGAAGCATGCTTGCCTGAGGTGACTGATTTATTTTAGATCGCGGGAGGTCTGGTTGGATTAGTCATATCTGAATTCAGCTTGTGTATAGTTATTCCAAGTACTTACAGCTGTGGACAGACATATACTGCATGTGAAGAAAAAAAAATTGTGCTGGGACCCTCCCTCCAGGAACAAGCACACAGGGATCTATTGCTTGCATTATACCTCAGACAAAATTAAAAAGAAAATAAAACAAACAAAAAGGTGTGTTTTATTCCCCAGTAGAGTGAGTTATAAGAAGCCAGTAGGAATTGAGGTAGACAATAAAAGAAGACAGCAAGATAAAAGAAAAGACATTAATCATGTATAACAAAAACACCAAGAGCATTGCCTGTATTTTCCCTACCATGTTAGACGCTTTATATTACACTATTAGTTACTAATCCTACCTTCAAACGACTCTCTGTACAGGACAATATTTGGATGTTTCATGTTGGCTAACACAGCAACTTCCCTCCTTGACTCTTCTCTCTCTTTATTAGACATCTAAAAACAAAAAAACCCCAACACGTTGTTTTGAAAGTAGGAATACAAGATGAATACATTAATAATTAATAAGATTGCTCACCTTAGATATGCTTATCTCCTTAATAACGTACTGCTTCCCATTTTCTTTAGATTTGACTAAAATCGCTTTTCCAAAGGATCCTTCACCAATCTTTTGCACCTTAATATATTTCTCCATGGCTCTTTTTCTAAGGCATCCTTACATGAGTGCTAGGCAAAAAAAAAAAGCACTCAGTTAACCAAATATGTTTATTTTATTTAGTTAGTTTATTTCTTTAATACCTCTCAGATCACATTACGCTTTTCACTTCAGTTTCCAATTAATTTTCTCATCAGTTCCATCAAGGAGCTGATCACTTCTCTGTAAATCAGTTAATTCATACCTCAATTCGCCTTATAATATATACTGATGAGAAGCTCCAGAAAGAGAGCTATATTGCTACTCACAGCTCAATTTGTTACTGTAATGGAACGTAGGTAATCAGAAAATGCCAGAAAATAAGCACATTTAGTCTTCAGGTACAGTCAATGGCACTAGCTTCTGCTTCAGCCAACATGAATATCATTGATAGCTATAGTAGTTAGTTACTTTTACCTCTCTCTCCACATTTTCTGAGAAAACTACTTCAGAACTGCCCTCCTCCACCCCACACACACACACACACACACACACACACACACACACACACACACACACCCCTCCCCCCAGAGATGTGGGATGGAAAATGTTCCAGTGCCTTATTTTTCTGTGGGAAGTTTTCTATTTCTAAAAATTAATTGTTTCATAGAATTCATTTGTAACAATGTATGGATGCCAATACAATATGAGACAAGCTTGGCAGTTTCAAAGTTGTAATTAATGTTTTTCAGGTGATTATCCCTAGGAAGTGAGTGAGAGAGTACATACATGTTTTATTGATTTGTGAACTGGAGGGTAAATACACTCACATAATAATCCAAACCAAAAATCAAGTTATAAATTGACATAATTGGCTGTGCAGGTCAAATCAAAACCAAATGAACGAACTGCTATATTTCTCAAAATCTCTTGCTTCTGGAGAATCAGTCAGAAGCACAATTAGTGAAGAAGATGCAGTGTGATAAGTTGCCCTTGCCCACAGACTCATTGGTAAAACCATCGTTTAGCAAAAGAGAATGTGGTTCAAGTAGTTCTGAATCAGATTTGCCTCAATCCGATTCTGAAATGTAACTAATAAATAGTGCAAGTGATTCTACACATAGTGACAGTGAAACTGGAGGTGCCGCAATGAACTCAGTGGAAGAGAATTAAACTCTGTTGAAGTAGATGAGTAGATAACTACGGCATATCATACACAGTTCTTTGGGTGTGCTAAAATTAGTGTGTCATCAGTTTTCATTGCCTTTGTTTTTCTTCTTAAATTTAAACAAACAATGTGAGGGAAGTGCATGCTATTGTGTTCACATTTTTACAAGTATGCCAATAAAATAATTTATTTCCACATAAAGCTTTGCATTTGTTTGAATATAATATTTAAACCACATTAAGTGTGGTGTATTTAATTTTCTTCCTAATCAAATATTTCAGTTCAAATACTTGTGGCTGCTGGGACATAAAATTCACATGGGGGGACTTTTTTAGTTTTGTTTACTAAATATAAGTCAAATAAACATACTAAATCAGATCATGCTCTATTTAGGGAATTGGAAAATTTTCAATTAAAAATTTTCCAGAAAACCCACATCTCTGGCACAAACACACAACATATCTATTAAGTGCTATCAAAATGTCGGTGCTAGAACTTAGCCTACTTTTAGCTTTATAATAGTGGTTAAGTTCCAAGCTCAGAGGCCATCTCATTTCCTTTAAAACCTTCCAGAGAGACACTTCTTTCACCAAGATTTTTATTCACCTGTCCACTATAAAAAAAACAACATATGACATTATTTTTTGAACCTGTACCTTCTTGTGCGAAACTCACCTAATAGGTCTATGGCTGACTGAATCGGGAATCTCCTTTGAAACGTGCATTATCAAGCCAAAAATGATGTACAAGAATCTATGTTAAAATTATGTTTTTGTGAAGAGTGAAGCACTCAGAAGACTGAAAATAGAAGAGAGAATTCTCAGCTGTGCCCCCTGTAGAGATTTTAACACTGTCTTTCCCATAAAACATCTAACTTGCCCACTGTGCAAGTGGCTGGCATTCAATGAATCAGGTAGCAGCTCAATATCTATTTTTTCATTGTTCACAAGGTAGGCCCTTCTATAGTCAGTTCACACTTACCTTTCACTACACCAAGGTCCCAACTATGCTTTCATTATCACCAGCATAAAAATCAGGTTCAAGACATTTTAAGTACAAATTATAAAGTTGGGCAAGAGACATGTCTGTGTCTCAGTCTGACCCTGAAAATATGAAAGAATAAATAAAAGTTGTATCTAGCTCTCACTCTAGCATATATACATTGATAAGTTTAGTGACTTCATAGTTTACTTTAACATTTGGGCAAAGCTCTTGCTCCACTGAAGTCAAAACCATGTTTCTTGCTTCTTCCCTGGGACAAGAACTTAATCCAACGTTTCCAAAAAGTAGAGAACAGCATGCAGCTATTTATGGATGCGATAATTAATAGATTTATTTACCCAACAGTTTCCTAATGATCAAAAATTATATTATTTTAGATTTAGTTTTGGAAAATAGCAAGGAGACCATGAGTTGATTCAGTTTGAATTCAGTTTTATAGTTAAACTTTTGCTTAACCCAGGTTCTCAAGTTCAAGAGCTAGCAAAGTCAACTAGCTATCAGCAAAGTAATTAAGTCAACTAGACAAAGGGGCTCAAGACTGGAATGTGAAAGAGACCTGGAACTTCCTTAAATCAAAGGTAACAGGAACTATGAGGAAACAACTTCCAAGGGTAAAAAAAACAAAACAAAACTGTAAGCCAGTCTCCTGCTCTAGTCATAATATGGCTGAAAACATAAACAAATATTTGTATAAAAAAACAATGACGTGCACTTGGGCAGCAGATAGGAGAAGGGGAGCAAAGCCAGGTCAGGTAACAGGAACAAGGGTAAAGAAAGTGAAATTACTAAAACTAAGGTGAAAGCAAAACAATATAGTATTTACTGGAATATATGATAAGCCTGAATACAAGATGACCTCCCAATAATTAGATTCTATATATGGAAAAATGTAAAGAATAGTTATAATTTTTCAGGTACAGAATCTACTTCTTGGAGGTATGCTTTGAATTTGACCCCTTCTACTACTATTGCAGGAAAACTAAATCTGGGAGGGTCGGGTGGCCCCCTTACCCTCTGTCTTTCCCCAAACTTCTACCCCTTGCAAAACCTCCTCCCCACCCCAAACACATGGAATGAGCACATTTGAAAACACTAACGGATGAGCTGACACATTTTATCTTTTTTTTCTTTAAATTGATGCAAGTTTTAGCACAAGTACTCCACAAACATACCTTTAATCAACATTTTTGTACCTCCTTACATAGAGTATAGGAACTACACTTGATCTGAGCTGACAAGAGGCTGAGATGATGCTTGATCTGAGCCAAAAGCATGATGTTAATTCAAAGCCAAAAAGCTGCTGATTACCATTATTGTTCACTGAGCTGGCCTTCAGAGGAGTCAATAGCATTTCAAGCCATGACAGCCCCATAGCTCAGCACTATCCAGTATGTGTGTACACTCCAGATACACTTCCCCACAAAGGATTCACGTGCTAATTACCCCCATTTATCCCTAGAACTTGGTGTTCATGTCACGAATCCTGGGATCCTCCAAAAGTTTATATGCAGATGGGATGCAGGCCAACCTGGTCCAGCTCCCCCTTATGGAAGGTGGGGCCACACTAATATGTGATAGGCTGACACAGAGCATCAGACGGAGCATCAGAGGGATTCTGGGTGAAGTTTGGGACCCTGTCTGATGATGTTTGTCAGATAATTAAGGCTGGTGAAGAAACAGGAATCATTGCAAACGGGAAAGAAAGGTACAGCTCTGCTGTTTGAATGAAGAGAAAATAAAAATATATGCAATGTGGTGGCTCATCATGACTTGAAAAAGAGCTGGCGCTGAAAAGGATCGAGTGCAATGGGCATTACAATATATCTTATTCAAAGGGGATTGCACTAACCTATTTTTGTAGAAGGTTCCTACAAGAACCTACCGCATTTCAGCCTTTTCGGCTAAGAAAAAAACATAGTGCTCCCACCCCCACAACTGTATCCTACATGCTGTTATTTGTAACTGTATGCGTTTCCCAAACAATCTCCCTTTTACAATGTAGTATTGTTGTGCGGGGGTCTCCTGTATACTCTCTGCTTTGTAAGTGTCATTATCCCTCCCTCCCATTCCCCCCGTCTACTCCTGAGCTTAGTTGGCTGCATGTTTCATATGTAGGGACCTACTGAATTTGTGGTGGAGGTGCGTGGTAGCTCCTTTAATCTTGCAGGTTCCCCACCCCCCCGCACCCCTCATCCCACTGACTGGCAGAGAGGCCCTACTGCTCACCGCTTCCCGCTCACTCCTGATTGGTGGGGAAGCAAAAACCATGGTTTTAAGTATGGCCAGGCAGCAGCAAGCAGAGGCCCCTTGGCCAATCAGCAGCAGGAAGCAAAAATGGCACCATATATAAAACCACAGTTTTCACTTTCCTGATCAGGAATGAGCAGACAGTGGGGAGCGGCAAGCAGTGAAGCCCCTTCACCAGTCAGCAGCCAGGAGGCACATGGGGAACTTGTAAGATTAAAGGAGCCAGTGTGTACCTCACTTGCACCACAAATTCAGTAGGTCTCTATTCATATATAACTTAGTTGCATTCCCACCCCTACCACCATCCTCTACTAAGTAGATCCCACTAGGATCTTTCTGTATTTCTTTGTGCTTTGAACTTTGCCATTTGAAATTTAACATTTTCTAATAAAATTAAACTTTTGGCACCAAGGGATAGTGTCAGGGCTGCTTCTGGCCCTCTCAATGCTGACCTGGTATTGCAGTACATCCAGGTCCAGTGCCAGTTTCCAGAGGAGGGAACACACCCCTTTTTCCACACACACAAAAAGGTTCCTATCAGCATCTCAGACTTTTGGCTAAGATTAAGCATGTTTGGCACCAAGGGGAGGGGGGCCAGGATTAGCTCTGGCCCTCTCAGCACTAGCCCTGTATTGCAGTACCTTCAGTTTCCTCATGGGGGAGCAACTATGCTTTTTTCTTTTTAAATGGCCACACAAAAAAAAGTCCCATCATTATGTTTGCTCAACATGGGCCATTTGTTTTACAGTCATGCTCAGTATTGGCTGTATTTTAAATGAGCTTCATAGTTGATTTCCATTACTGAGCACATGCTGCTTTTGGCAGCAGTTCAACTAAAGACAAAGTATTTAATGAGGTTTCTTTGCATGCAATTGTAAAAAAAAAAATGGAGCTTTTTCCCTATGTTGATTGGGGGAAATAAACCTCATCTTGTATTCAAGCAAATGTGGTAGTAGCCATCCCAGAATTCGGAAAGAACATGAACACAGGTCCTGTGGCAAGGGATTTTAGTTGAATAATATATTGGGTTAGGTATGGCATCATGATTTAATACCTATATTTAAAAAGGGAGAAAAGGCACCCCTGGGTCATTAGTTTCATCTCAATAACATACAAATCTTTAAATCAAAATTTAACAGGAAGAATAATCAAAGGCATGGAAGTAAACAGAAAATTGGATACTATATAATAATAGGAACTTACCCAAGATAGACCATGCCAGACTAACCCAGCATCTTTGAAAGGCTAACTGAGTTTTCTGAACAAAGTAAGTGTAGTAGATCTAATCTATTTCTAATTTCAATAAAGCTTTTCATATAGTACCACGGGGGAGATTATTAGCAAAAAACAGAAAAAATGGGTACGAATACTGAAAGGCTTTCTTCCTAGATGATAAGAAAACAAGCAGGCTTGAAAGGGAAACTGTCTGTCTAGAGGGAAGTTACTAGTGGAGTTTCTCGAGAATCAGGTTTAGGAATAATCTTGCATAATATTTTCATTAATGGACTGGAATATAAAATCTGCCAGAAAGAGATAGCTGATAGGCATCATCAATAGATATCAGAATCAGAATCTCACATGGGAAAATTCTGAGGATCATGCAGGGACTAACGTAATATAAATTAAATTGAACAGTACAAAGTGCAATGTCACACAGTTTGAATTAACAAGAGTAAGTTGGAGGCTCATCAGCAAGAAATGAATGAGAAGAATGAACCTGGACATATAAATGTATAACAGAATGACTCTGTAGCCAGGTACAGACATTACACTTTTACTGGTGTAAGCGATCAGAAACTGGTCTAAACCCATAACAGGTTCAGCACCCACAGGCTGGTTTAAAGAGGGCAGAACCCAGTCTAAGATAGGCAGCCTGCATGCCCTCTCCACCCTCCACAAGGGTGAATGCATGTTCTGTTCACTACTGATCTAAACTATGATGCCTACAGAAAACCACTTAACTTGGATCAATTCTGCCTCAGGCTTTTGTCAACAAGCAAAATGACCCCGCCAGATTATTGTATCGAAGTGTTAAGTGACGCAACCATTGTAAATAGTGATGCGGTGGCGGAGTGTATCAGCAATTTGACCCAACATGCGAGCGATGCGTGATCAGGGCGTGATCACCTGTGGTCTAGCCAATCAAAGACCACCTAATGGGCATGGCTGGCTGGCCAGCATGTCCATGGGTTCCAGAATGTACCATCAGGGGAGCTTCCTGATTGGCTGAAAAAGTTATATAGGGGACCGCACGCCTCGGTGCGTGGTCCCCAGGCTCTGACTCTCAAGGCGGATTGATCACCCGTCTTGGGGCCTGGTCAGACCCCTAGGTCTATAGCAGAATCTGCTCCGGTCACTCCAAGCATTATAGTTTACTGCCTTGCCAAATCCGGAACGCCCTGTACTTTGTCCCAACCAGACATCGTACTTGTATACTGCAGTCTCCACCCGTCACCCATCACTTATCCCTTGTTGCTGTATATAGTTCATCACCTCCAAGTTATATCACCCTTCAAGTTGTTTCGACAGTTCCGTAAGTAAATATCAAATTTTATTTCACACCTTATTGTCTGTGGTGTTTATCTCCACCTTGCTCTTGGCATCCCCGAGTGTGTCTGGGTTGGTGTCACCACCCGGTGCCCCACTTGACATGCAACTGCGGCCGTTTCCCAAGGACCATCCGGGAATCGAGGCCCACAGCTTTATGAACGTCTGTACTCAGCCTAAGATTCAGATACAATGTCAGCATGTAGCGGGCAAGGTACTCCAGTAGATATAATTACTAATACTTTGTTATAACAAAACACTGTTGAGACCTACTTTTGAATACTGTGTACAATTCTGGTCACCAGCATTACAGAAAAATGAACTGAGTGCATCTTACAGGAGGGGACTAAAAGAACTTGTTTACTTAGCTTAGCCAAATAAAGGCTGAGAGGGGATACAATTACTCTATATAAACAGATCAGAGGAAGATAAAATACCGAGTTGTCCCAAGAACAAAAGTATATAAACTGGTCGGAAGTTAGCAGGTTGGTTCTCAACATCAGAAGAATCAAGTTCTGAAACAGTCTTCCATTTGGAGTAATGACACCAAACCCCCCTCCCCCCACTATGCTAGATAAAATTCAATTTATGAAATGGCTGTGAAATAGGAAGGAGGAAAGGGAAGATGTATTTTTAATCAATAACTCGTTAAGTTACTTCCAGTTCTAGGCATCTGTTCTGATAACACAAAAATCTGTACTTTAACAATGGCATCCTAATACTTTAACAAAGTTACCTAAATTTTTATATTAATGATTTTCTATACAAAGAGCTAAAAAAACCCCAACCCCAAAACAGTGCGCTAATAGCCATGTTAAGCAAAGCAGTACTCAACACTTATCACTAGCAATCAAAGTGGTTGCTATATCAAGTATGATTAGACTAATTCTTAAAGATGGAATAGCAATATACCAGATAACTTACCCAAGGAAGGTTAAGAACAGAACTCAGGTGAAGTCACCTGAACTCAAGTTTTATGTCCAGTCTAACAGGACTCATTGCATCCTAAAAGGTATACAGCAGAGGTTGGCAACCCACAGCCCATGAACCATTGGATCTAGGCTTTGGTGGCATTACTCTGTGGGCATTCTCCCCATACCATGGCTGTGGGTGGGTCCTGGCACCCTCCGTCTGATCCAAGATGGATCATTCAAGCCTGCAGCTGGAAAAGTTTGCCTACCACTGGCATCCATTGGCTCCTTGGACTTATTCAAAGGCAAATGGGCACTAGCTGATCTGCTTTTCTTGGTGCACCCTGCCCTGTGAACACTTATGATTAACTTTTAACCTCCAACTCCTATCCCTAACTGTGCACCAACAGAAACCTGTGTTTACTTTTAAATATCTGGAAACTGTTGATGCCAATTTGTGACCCCCTCTAATAAGAGGAAGGGGCTAGCAGTTTCTGTGTGTGCTCATGCCCACACTCCCTATGTGCATCAAGCAGGCTTACCACTGGGGTACAGCGTATTCCATTTAAAAGCATTCTTTCTGGGAAGGTAGTAACCTATGGTGACCGTAAAGCATGCTCCTTAATGACATAAACACACTTCCTTAAGATTTTTGCACCTCTTTAAGGCTCTTCACTTGGTTTTTCAGAGCCTCATGCTCTAGCAGCCGTCTGGAAACTGACAGGACCCACTCAGCTCACGGCAGAATTAGGTTGGCTTCTGGTCTCTTTCATTCACTTAAACAGTTACAAAGCAGACACATGGGCCCAACCAGCAGCACCTTCACTTGTACTTGACTGCTCTGCAACTTTGCTGTACTCCAGGCAGCTGCACTATACATAGTGGGAGGTAAAGCAGCTGTCAAACAATTGGTGGATGCCTTGGTGAAGACAGCAGCCAGCAGCTGTGAAGCAGGACTGCCTCCCCCTAGTTTCAAGGCTCCTAATGCACCAATTGTCAGGAGCTGAAACATGAGGAGAGCTAACCTGTATTGGGCTGCTAGTCCCAATGCACCCACAGCACTGGTAGGAAGGAATTGCAGACAACTCCAGTTGTAGGGGACCTCGGGAGGGGCATCTAGTCCAACCCCCTGCTTAACACAGAACCAGCCCCGACTAGATCACCCCAGACAACGCTTTGTCTAGCTGGGTCTTAAAAACCTCCAAAGATGGAGCATCTACCACCTCTCTGGGTAACCTGATCCAGTGTTTTACTACCCCGTAATGAGAAAATTCTCCCTAATACCTAACCTAAACCTCCCTAGCTGCAACTTGAGCCCATTGCTCTTCCCTGTGTCATCCGCCACCACTGAGAACGTCCTCTCTGTTACCCGCTCCAGGGAGCTGAAGGCTGCTATTATGCTTCCTAGGTCTCCTCCAGACTCAATGAGCCCAGGTCCCTCAGCCGCTCCTCCGCCCGCCCGCAGGGCTCATAACCACCCGCTCCCTCTCAGCTCGGGGGACCCAGCGCCCGGCACCCGCTGAGGAGCGTCCCAGAGCAGGGACGGGCCGCGGGGCCGGCGCGAGCAGCGGCACGGGGGCAGGCGGGTGCTGGCGCCGGCCGGGACCCCCGGGGCCCCTGCCCCCACCCCAGCGGGAGAGGAAGCGGGGCGAGGGCCCCCCGCCACGCCCCTGCAGTGCCCCCCCCGCACCTCTCACGCCGCTTCGGCGGCCGATTACCGCAGCTGGAACCGCTGTCTCCGCTCAACCGAACCCCACAGCCCTGCTCCGGGACCGCCCCCGCCCTGCCATTGGGTAGCGCATCCCAGCGCCTACTCCTATTGGGTAAGGCGAACCAGGCGAAACCATCATGTTCGCGTTGCACTACGAAAGGATTCGTGCCCGGGTTGTGGCTTCTCCCTGGTAACGCTTAGCAATGATCACGTGACCGCAACGCGCGGGGCGGGGCGCCTCAGTCCGAGCAGTGTTTGCCGCGCCCATCTGTGATCTTCTTTGCACACCTGCGGGCGGGCGGCCCTGCGCCAGGGGTCTGTGGGGCGCTGGGCTCCGTGCGTCGCTCTTCACGTGTCAGTGGACAGGGGCGGGAGAGCCTGGGCCCGGGCGCTGTCCGCCCCGAGGTGCCTCTGTGCGCGGCGTCCGTCAGTTTCCTGTGGCTCCGAGCGTCCGCTCCATGTGCAGCGCGGGGTGGGGCCAAGTACCCCGGGATTGTGCTGTAGGGGTTGAATTAAACCGGTTTATGCACCGATTATTTGTGTGTGTGTGTGTGTGTGTGTGTGTGTGTGTGTACCTATACTTACTTGCGTGTGTCTACTTGTGTATGTATACTTGTGTCCGCGTGTATACTTGCATGTGTGCTTGTGTGTGTGTGTGTGTATGTATACGTGTGTGTAAACAGCTTACTTATAATTCTCTATACATATATATATATAAACTCTCTCTCCCCCACTCAATACTGTATTTTATATATATTTGCTAGTTTATATAAAACTAGCACATTGCCGGTAGGTTCCACCCACCACCCCACACCACTGCTGCTTTCCAGGAGCAAGGGGAGGAAGCTTGCAGGCAGCAGGCACCACTGCTTCACCACCCCATGCTGCAAGCCACTCTGCATCCAGCTGTGTGCTACGCCCCCCCACTCACCTGCTCGGAATCCAGCCCTGTGCTTCTCCACACTCCCATGCTGCTTCTGCTGCTCCACCTCCAGTCCTGGGCCACCTCTCCTCCCACCATGTCCACCTGGCCTGCTCTGCTAGAGCCACACCCCGTCCATTATTCTTTATGGGCATTTATGTCACAGCACTGGCTGGAGCCATGACCCACCCAAAGAGTATTACAGACAGGTAGACAGACACACTGACAGATAGACTAAGCTCTTTATATACAGATTTATAGAATGTAGGCTGGAAGAGACCTCAGAAGAGCATCGGGTCCAGTCCCCCTGGACCAAGCAGGAAAGACAACTGGGGTCAAGTGACCCCAGCAAGGGGACCATCCAGTCTCCTCTTTAAGATCTCCTTTTGAAGATCTCCTTTCTCTGGAAGGAGCTTATACCACAGTCTGGACACCCTGGCTGTAAAGAAGTTTTTTCTAATGTTGAGCCTGAAATGGTCTTTCAGGCGTTTGTGACCATTGCCCCTGGTTTTCCCCAATGGTGCCCTGATGAACAGTTGTTCACCGAGCCCTTGATGTATGCCCCTGATGTAGCAGTAAGCTGCTACCAAGTCCCCTCTCAGCCTTTTCTTTTCCAGGCTGAAGAGTCCCAGTTCCCTCAGCCTTGCCTTCCATGGCTTGCTGTGCAAGTTTCTGACCATACAGGTGGCCCTTCTCTGGACTCTCTCGAGCTTTTCCACGTCCTTTTTGACGTGTGGCACAGTACTCCAGCTGCAGTCTCACCAATGCCTAGTAAAACAGAAAAATCACTTCCTTGGTTTTGCTGGAGATGCATTGATTCATGCACACCAGCATATTACTTGCCCTGCTGGCTACAGCATCGCACTGCCAGCTCCTGTTCATACTGTGGTCCGTTATTACCCCCAGGTCTCTTTCCTTCATAGTGCTCGTCAGATTGGCATCGCCAAGCCTGTAGGTGTGCAGGGAATTGTTCATCCCCAGATGGAGCACTTTACATTTCTCAATGTTAAACCTCATCTGGTTTCCATATGCCCAACTTGTCAGCCTGCCTAGGTCTGCCTGTATCTGCAGCCTATCTTCAAGCGTGACCACGCTTCTCCATAATTTGGTGTCGTCCATGAACTTGGCCAGCGAGTTCTTCACCCCCACATCCAAATCGTTAATAAAGATGTTAAAAAGCACTGGACCAAGCACCGACCCCTGAGGGACACCACTGGCCACTTCTTGCCAAGATGACACAGATCTGTTCGGTAGAACTCTCTGGGTCCTACCCTGTAGCCAGCTTCCTACCCACCTAACTGTCTCGCAGTTAAGCCTACAATCTTCCAATTTTCTCATGAGAACATTGTGGGATACCAGATCAAAAGCTTTTTGGAAGTCAGGGTATACAGTGTCAACCTCTGGCCCCATGGAGAGCAGGGCAGCAGATTGACATTAAAGGCCCCCCATAGCCCTGCTGGCAGCAGATTGCCACTCTGCTCCCCTCCCTGAGACCCAGCATGGCTGGGGACAGAGGAGCCATGCGGAGATTTCCTAGCATCTGCTCGCTCCGTACTGCCCCGGCGACGCATCTCCTGCGCCCGGGGCTGCACTGAGGGAAGTGGCACGGGGCTCTGCTACTCAAAGTGGCAGCAGGCGCAGGAGGTGTGTTGCCAGGGCAGCTGGGGGGGCAAGGAGATCCTGGCATGGCCCTGATGTTCCTAGCCATGCCGGGTCACGTCTGCAGGGCTGGAACAGCCCCATGGGAGGGAAGCAGGGCGGGAGCTCAAGCCCGCAACCTGCCCCCACACAGATCTGGGGGTGCAGGTCCCCCTTGCCCCCTGGGAGCGAACAACACAGAGTGCCCAGATGGCTCCATATCTCCCCACTCCCGGCCGGCACCTCCATGCACAGCTTCCCTTAAGGGCTGCTAGAGCCGCTTTGGTTTCACGTGCCCCTGGCTTGGCACTCTGGCGTCGAGCGGGGAGATGTGGAGCCAGCCAGGCACTCCATGTATTTTCCCAACACCTCCCCGCTCGCGGCTGGAGTGCCCGGCTGGAGGCACATGAAACGAAAGCGGCGTTAGCAGCCCTTAAGGGAAGCCACACATGGAGATGCCAGGTGGGGACTCCGTATTTCCCTAATACCTCCTCGCTCCCTCAGCCCCCAGACAGCTTTCATCCCATCCCTGCCTCACAACCCCACCCAGCCCCCTGTAAGCCCCGCTTATCACTTCACAGGCTGCAGGAGGAAAGTGAGCCTGACCTAGGCCTTGTGACTGACTAAAAGCCACAGGACCCGCCCTTCCCCCTCCCCCTGCCCCTCCAACTTTCCCGCCCTTTTTGCAAATCGCTCTTGCAGGCTGGAACTCTACCAGCCTGAAGAGCTCTTTGCAAACACAGGAAATTCATGGGTTTCTCTGCTAAAAGAGAAAATCTGCATTTTGTTTGATAAAACCATGAAAGCTGCAGTTTTCTCTGTTTTTCCATGGGAAATGGAAAACCCGGATCCTTGATGATCACAAGGCTATTGACCCAGGGTGTGGGCTTAGTCACCTTCGTAATGACTCCCATAGCTCTCAGTGTTTCAAGGGTGGTCTTCAACTTGCCTAAGATTGCATAGGGAATTTTTCTACACCCATGCACAACTGGTGGTACCACTGGGTTGACATAGATATGGTGGGTACATGGAAATTGGCCCAAACCTTCAAAAACATCCGGATATAGTTTGAGAAGTTCCGTCTTGGTTGTAAGTACTGTCAGGGCCATTTCATGGACTCTTTTGATAAGGTCTAAGGTGGTGCATGCCACCCTAACAGGTATTGGTAGGTCACTATAGTCTGTTGCATAAAAAGTTTAATCGGATTAATTAGCACCAGATTTGCAGTGTGCAATGATTGCACCTTTTGGTTTCATGTGTGCATCGCAAAATGCAACCAATGTAACATGAGCTGGAGTCTTGCATACTTTGCCTTGCAGGGTCTTTGCTACATTTACTGGAATAGTATTTGTTTCCACTCCATTATCTTGAAATAGACTGGCAAGTCAGCAATCATAATTTTGCTATACCAGGCATTCAGGTTATCAAAGGTCTGTGAGTTCTGCTTTGCTGACATTGTGCCCATATATAGGGTACTGACTCTTTTTTCAGATTTTGGAGCCTCTCCCTTTGATTTGCAAATTTTTGCAAAGTGGTTCACTCCAGAGCATTTGTAACAAGTTTCCCCAAAAGTGGGCAGGATCTAGGCTTGTGTGTTTTTCCACACGTTATGCAAACTTTGCCTTTTGCAGCTTGATGGCCCCCTGTGGAGCAAACTTTATTGGGGGTTTGTTTTGCTTTTGCAAAGTGCTGTGGCAGTTTTGCTTTTGTTCAACTGCATGCAGGTTTGCTTCTGCAGACATAACATGAGCCTGGGCACTAGTGAGAGCCTTTGCCCTGCAGATATCCACAGCCTGTGCCAGGGTGAGGGATGGGTTCTCCAGAAGCCTTTCCTTGAGTTTGCTATCATTTATGCTGAAAACAATTTTGTCCTTCAACATAACATCCTCAGCAGGTCCAGATTCACAATGCTGTGCTCAGAGCCATCCCTAGAGGTGTGCAGGGCCCAGGGCATATCAACCTGTGTGGGACCCGGGGGTAGGGAGGGTGAGCGGCTGGAGCTGGCAGAAGTGGGGAGGAGGCTAGCAAGAGGCCAGAGCTGGCAGCAGCACAAGAGCCAGCAGTGGCTGTGCGCGGTGGCCATGGTGTTGCCTATGCGGCACTGACAGCAGGAACCCCCAAAGCACAGGGTTTGGGGCAGTCACCCTGATTTGCTCCCCCAGCCCCAGGACAGCCCTGGCTGTGCTTTATTTCTGAGCTCTGTAACAAAATGATCTATGCCTGCAGCCTCAATGTATCTAAGTTGTCAGAACTGATACCTTTCAAAAACAGGTTTTTTTCTGGGTTCACAGTAGTTCTTGAATGCTGCAAACACCTCTGTAAGGGTTTTGTTATTAGGGTCTCCAAACAATTTGCATGTTATTGTAAATTTCTAGGGCTTTATCCCTAGTGCAGTGAAGCATGACTGCAATTTTATAATCCTCTGCCTCTTCCTTGGTCTTTGTGACTGCAAGATATAATCAAAGCTTCTGGTCTCATCTCCTCCAAT